ATGACATTGTAAAATGATCATTATGATCCAAAAATAGCTTTTCTTAATTATTTTATTATACTGATCATACCGAAATCGACTTCGGCTGAATAGACTTCGGCAAATTTTTTTAGGGTGTCCCAGAATTTATGAAAACAGCTGTAAGGAAAAATGATCGATTGATACTCGACTTCCTTCGGAGAACCGATCACGACCACCACATGTATATTTCGTGAATTTATTTATTTTATTGATAACGATATATATTAATTTGCATATGAGTATTTTCTTGGCGTATTCGTTTTCTTAATGCTATTCTTGAGATCACGAGTAATATATATTTTTACTGCTTTTTTATTACAGCCAAACCTCTATATATGCACCCCTTGGGACCGACCGACCATAAGTGTGCATTTGAAAAATAAATATATATATATAAAAATAATTGAAATATGAAGTAAAAAATCGAAACATAAAAAGAAAAAATAAAAGAACTGTGAATAAGAAATAAGTAAAATAGAAAATAAAAATAAAAATAAAATTTGCATGTGGACTTGGTATATATAGCGATACAGTCTACTACTTAACTAAGTATTGCCAAACATCTAATAATGATCACCTTATCAGTTTTAGCACGTTTTTTTGATCTTTCAATACTAGGTCTTCTTGCAGCTTGTTTATCCATTTGACTTGTCTTCTTGAGGATATAAAAATAATATAGTTATATATTTGGTCTAATTTTACCTTAAAGAAAAACATTGATTACAAGATATTTACTAATTTTTTTATCAATTTTGTATCTGAACATTTATCATTTATATTCTCAATTTTCATTGATTCTTTATATAATAATCTTCTGGATTCGAATTCAATCTGAAAGAATAAAATACTTTTAATCTTGTTAATATGCTAAATTTCATTTAAATCATTTTAATTTACTTTCTTTTCTATTCTCTCAAGTAGATTTTTGATTTCATTCCTTTTAATGGTTTTATCGAAAGAAGAATAAATGAAAGTAGCTCTCTTTCATGCTTGACTCAACAAATTTCGTTGGTTACTCATTGATTTGACTTTGATTCTTATAGCTTCAAGAGTTGCTTCTGGACTATCATAATCCGTAATTTCATATTCTAATATGTACTGAAGACATGCGTGTACTGACCATTCATTGTATGGCCCATTCTTGAAAAAAAGATATGACCTCGAAATATAACAAAAAGAATTAATAACGGGTTCATACGTTTAAAAGAGCAAGAAGTTAAACTAGTGATACTCAGGGCCAGTGATTTTCTGCGGCGCTATTGGGTCAATTCCGTCCGTGCTAATTTATATGTTCTGCAAGTCAATTTT